AATTCAATCTATCTTAAGAATTTTTATGTATTAATATATTAGAAATTGCTAGTATTAATAAAATCAATATCTCCCCAATATCCTAATAATCGCAATATTTAGATAATTTCTTATATATCAATTGTTTTTCTAAATAAAATAATTGTTTTCTAAATAAAATTAAAAAATAGAATAAATATAATAAGAAATAAAATGAAAATATATCATAAATATATAAGATTTCTTTTGAAAAAATCAAGAATATATATATATATATATTTGCGTATAATTGAATATAAATAAAGAAATATATTTTAAAATAGAAGAAATATTTTTGAAAAAAAATATTTAATAAATTTAGATTATAGATAAGATAATAAATAGATATCCCAATATCATATCTAATATCTTGAATAAAAGAATCGCCTGGACCTTCCACACCCGTTATGAATATTCGGGATTATCAGATTTTCGAGTTCATAATATTTCACCATTATAATAAGAGATTCTATTTATTCCCTCTCTGCAAATGCAGGCTTCTATTTTTTTCGGCAGCTGCCCAAACGATATCCTCAAAGAGTGGAAGTCGTACTTTGGGTGCCATGCGCAGCCTGGCAGGACAAGTGTCGGTGCTGGACCAACGACGCGTCCAAATGCGACACAAATTGATATGTCAAGCACCATTGCAGCGCCTTCAGACATTCTCTGTTTTCTTGGGTGTCGTCGGCAGCGTGAATTCCAAGCTGCTGCTCCAGCATCTGCCTGCACGGCGAAATGCAATGAAGGCTGCGAGGCCGAAACCAGACAGATGGCCAGGGCAAGAGGACACGCGGCTCCACTTCCGGGTGAGCTTGCCAGGGCGCAAGATTCGTGTACCGACCTGGCCTCTGCATGTCCAGCCAGTTTGACACCTGCTCGACCACGGCTTGCTCAGCACCTGCATGCACCGAAAGATGTTGCACATGTCATGCACATGCAGATGGAGGTGGGTTGTCGTCAAGTATCAACACTCATCGAGCGGTTTTTGCGACAATTGCTGTCAACTAAGTTTTACATCTGCCACGAGTGGAAACGACTCACAGTCGCGTCAACAAGCAGTTGAGCAGAGGAGCTCGTAATCATTTTCAGCCTCAAGCCAGAGAACGTCAATTGTTGTTCCGTGGTCTTAGAAAGGTGTATATGACCTTCGCGGGAGAGGGCAGACATAGAACACAGGTATCAGCATGCGCTGATAAATACCTGTGTCAGCATCCATATCTGCACCTGACCGTCCAGACCAGGATACCACGACCCCTGAGGTCAGGACTCGGAGCTGTAAAACCAGGTTGAGGAGTTATCTGGCGCCTGCAACGAAGTGAAGGCTGGGGGTAGAAATCAAACCGAGCCTGCAGCAATCCCCTTGCCCTTGAGGAAGTCGACATAGTTTTAATGAGTGAGCCCGAGTCATCGTGCTGGAGGCTGATGATGCACGTCGATGCTCGTCACGCACGCCGAGTTCATCTTGCGAAAGTCGGTGGAGAGAGTGTGTGATAGAGTGGAGAGGGGGGGAGAGCAGAGAGTTTGATCGCGAGAGTGAGTGCGAGACAAACAGAGAGCGAGAGAGAGAGGGACAACAAGCAGAAAGATGGACGGACGGAAAAGCTCAAGATGGCTGAAGGTTGACGCAGAAGGGCGACTTGGCCGAAAGACAGGAGTTTTCGATTTGAACTGTGGTTTTCTTGAACAGCATAGACATGCCCCTTTCCGAACCTCCAAATTACCCTCCATTCGTGAGTATCGACAAAGGCGAACGAGAGTGTTCAGGCAGGCCAAATTTCATCATCATCTACAGAAAGCAGTGAGGCCAAGGCCCGAATCAGCAAAAACAGACAAAAACAACGGGGGCAGTGTCAGCAAACAGGCCGGACACAAGTCGTCAACACGGCTGCCAGATTGAGCAGACAGTCGCCGGCATTTGATGACACAAGCTATTCTGGTGAGCCAGCTGCAACAGTCTGCTTCCCACTGAGCGCAGGCTAGGCCTTGTCCTCCAGACAAACGCAGATGCTAGATCAACGTGTGCTGGTGATGCTCAGGAACATCATGTTGCTGCAGGCACTCATGGCGTGCTGTGGCAGTGCCGGTCACAGACTTGCCAGCGACGACATCTTCTGCAACCAAATCCCCGATTTCCTTGCTGGACTGTCAAAGCATATCCAAGCAAGAGATCAGCTTCGTGTGTGAATCGGCCGTGCTGAAACCAATCGACCTCCCTGCATCGGATTCGAGATATGGAGCTGAAGCGAAGGCTAAACATGTCCACACTAAAACTAAAACTTGATAACAAAGAAGCACAAAGGTTCAGGCTCTGACTGCCGAGAATGAAGACAATTACTGTGCTAAGTTCCGAGGGCAACGGGTGGTGTGCGTTAGGCACACGACTCACGCTAAGATGCTTCCATGACATGCCTGGTGCTTGCTCCCTCGAATCCTAACTTGTAGCGCAGGTCATCTGCGGAGGGATAGCCCCAGACAAAGTGCCACAACCACCGAACATGCGAGCGAAAACAAGCCAGCAAAACAAACGCATGGCGGCAAAACCGAGACTAGTGGCTGGCGCAAACGGACGACGTTGAGCAGTCGACAAAGAGGTGATCCGCAAGCAAAGGAAGCTATGAATGGTTTGTTTCGGAGGCCTCGGCGCGGAAGCGTCCTCCTCTTGCGGAAGCCTCTCGCAGTGACAAGCACACTCTCTGCGCACGCAAGATGCTTCCAAAGCGATGCTAGGCTAGAGGCTTCGGCGCCTTTCGAGCCAGTGCACTTTAATCTTCATGTGATACTTCTCATACACCGGGTCGTGCACGATATGATACCTCGCAAGGGAAAGCACCATCTCTACATTCGTGTTCCTGTTGGAATGAGCATTGCGGCATCGTGTCACAGCTGGAAGCTTCCAGCCTATGCGTTACGGATTGGCAATACAGGCAACACACGTCCTTGCAGCTTTATGCGGGATATCGTCTTCTTGCAGCGATGGGTCGGGACCCTGCTGAGGTCGAGTGCAGTCGGGTGGTGGTTGAGGTGGGGTGGGGTGGAGTCCGACGACTATGGCGGTTACTACAGTATTGCTATGGCTCCTGCTACTACTCTCGATTCTAGTCGAAAATCTGTGCGAACCAAATCCCTGAAGTATCACAACCCCATAATGGCATCACGGTGTGTGGGGCATTATACTACTGCTGGTGCTACCACGGCGACGACTATCAATAGTAATACTCATCATGAATCATTGTCATCATCATCGCGGCATCCCGAACAGCGATTAATAGATGTTGGTAATGATAAGCGCCATGATTGGAATTAAAACATAACAACAGACCTCAAACAAAGAAACACACCATGCAGTACAATGTCTACAAACCCAAGTGCCAATCCAAGTTCACAGCAGAAGCAGAGGCAGCAGCAGCAGCAGCAGCAGCAGCAGCAGCTAGTAGCAGCAGCAGCAGGAGTAGTAGTAGTAGTAGTAGCAGCAGCAGTAGCAGTAGCAGTAGCAGTAGTGGCGGTAGTAATAGTCGAGGAAGAACCAGAAGTACTGGCAGAATTAGAGGTGGAGGTAGAGGTAAAGTAGTGATAGCAGTAGCAGCAGCAGCAGCAGTAGCAGCAGCAGCAGCAGAAGCAGCTGCAGCGGTGGTGGTGGCGGTGGTGGTGGTGGTGGTGGTGGTGATGGCTGCCTGTAGTAGCGGTAGTATCGTAGTAGTCGTAGCAACACTCGTACAAGTAGTACGTGGTCCTAGTAGCAGTAGTAGTGGTAGTAGTCATCGTGGTGGTGGTAGCTGCGCCACAACCCCTCCCCCCTATTCTGAGATGCCTTTTAAAGCGGCGGCACGTGCCCGGGCGTGCCGGAGCCACGAGGGCCCCCTCGACAACTTGCCTCCCTACCGGTTGAATGAATGAAAAGAGAGAAGCCACCCTGCTAAGGCGACGAGTGGTGCTGTTGCCCGGCTGAGGTGTCGCCCACCGCCTTGGGCAGGGTCGGCAGCCAATAAGACAATCCTCAAACCCTTAAACCCCGCCACACAGTCTTCGCCCCGCTGCACCGTTGGGGGTCGGCTCTGGCCAGGGGCCGGGCGCCAGCAACGGACCCCCAACCCCCTCCCCCACACTGTCAGCATCACCAGGCTCTGGGTGCCGAGTAGAGGGTTTGAAACCATGCGATGCTTCGGAGGCGTGTTTGAAGCTTTCGCCCAACGAATTTCACGATTTGGCCGCACCAGGTGGGCGAGCACCAGCATCATTTGGGACGTTAGCGTGGGGAATTCAGTGGCAAAGCGCAACGGAAAATTCGGCGGCTTTAATTAGGCGCTACAAACCTCGACCCCGGCCCCCAATATCCCCCAATCCTGCAACCCGGAGACCGCGCCGCCCCCAGAGTTCTAAAGCTTTTGCCGCAAATACGCCGTGTACCGCACACCACCGCCGCCGACCCTCTGCAAAGAATCACTGGGGAAATCTGTGCAGAGTTTAGACGCAAGCAAACGTGGGCCAACATCCTGAGCATTTTTTCGGCCAGCTTCGGGCCTCGGACATTCGGAACGGATCGGGCCTTGCGGCACAGGCGCGCTCCGCCGCTACGAGCACCGCTACGGTCACACCATTGCAAGTACCATTCTCACGACCTACTGGATCTACTGCTACGACTGCTGCAGATACTGCTGCACGATGCTTCGACCACGACTACAAGTACGGTACTTGTCCGGGCTCGGCGCATGAGCGTGCCAAGGGCGGGACTGGCGGCTCTGCTTGCTCCATTCCCTTCCATTCCACCACCTTTGTGTGCCAAAACCATGTCGAAATGGAGCCAAGTTGAGCCAAGTACAGCTTTTGCTTTGCATCGGTCCTACTGGGCTGCCAGGCTCCACTTGCTTGAAGCCCAGCGCGTCCACCCGCGAGGCAAATGCGCGAGCTACCTGCGACAGTCTGCACATCAATCCATGCCTAGTTGTCTCGAAATGCCTTTCTGGCTACACTAACTCAACTTTCCCTCTCGTCCTGCGATTCAGAAGAGCACCCTCCGGTTCTGAAGTCTATCAGGTCGCAGAGCGTTGGCTGCTAATGGCACGCGGTCAGCCGCGGTCAAGGCTTTGGCAAGCATGTGAAGCGGAGAGCCAGCTACATAAATTTGCGTCAAGACCTGACTTGGTGTCTTCTTGAGTTTCTTGCTGTGGGTCTAGCATGCGTCTGCAGACGCCATTGACAAGAGCGGAATTGGTAAGCAAAACAAGAGCCATGACTCAAGCAAGATGCCGGTTCCACAGAAAGCGGAGCAGATGTCATTCAATGCTTTCAGCGGAGCCGAGCAGCGCCTGGTGCATAAACGTGCGACTGTTGGACGGCAGCTGCATGTCCTCTGGCTGAATGGCAACGAACTCGTCACAGCGCTTGCTGGAACTCTTGGTGCTCACATGTCTCGCATGTCGGTTGCAGCGGGTCCCAAGTGAAGCTGCTTTGGCCCATGGCTGCCTGCACGTGCAGAGAGCTGCTAAGACGCCGGCACAGGTTTCTACAAACTGAATGCGCTTTTCAGCCCTTCTCCACAGATGTTGAAATCTAAAGACCACAACAGCTACGGAGCAGGCCAGCTAACACGTGTACCAGTGACAAGCTACTGTCTCGCAGAGAGATAACATCAATTTCACTCCCTCGACAATGTAAAGAGCCCCGTTGGTAGACACGTGTTGCAAGGTTGCATCCGCAAAAGCCTCTTCGAGGCAAGACTGCTGCAGCTGCTCCGTCAACCTGAGTTGTCTTGCACGACGCGTCCTGAATTTTTGCTCGAATGACCCACGGAGATGAGCACTCAATGCGTTGATTCAAATCTTCTGGCAGTCTGACTACACCAGCGTTATCTGCATTGCCACCGCGAGCATGGCTTCTTTTCACCCTTGGGATGCATTGCTGCCATCAACGAATCAAGTGTGCCAACTGCAGCCATTGCATGTAACTGCAGTCTCGTTGAAGCCACTTTGCTGACAAGATGCCGCTCGGCCAACCTGCGCGCCGAATTTCGGCCCTAAACATAACTGCTCAGTCCGTCAAACTTGGCAACGCCGCACAAAGACAGCCTGCTATAGTGCCTGAACTGTGCGCTTGATGTCTAAATTCAAGCCCACTGTCCGCACTCTGAAGTCCTGCACTTACACTGCTTCCTCTTGGATTCTACTTATTTACAGCCACGAATCTGATTCGGATCCTGGCCTCTGCGGCGCGCGCTGCGTCGCAGAGGCAAGCTGCTCGGCAAAGGCCGTCAGTTCTGGTACTGCAGGAGCATCTACGCACAATCGGCAAGGAGGGTCTATGGTAAAGTTGGCGCAAAAACTTGAATCCGCATCGGCAGCTGGAATCAGAAGCAGCATACTGTCCGAAACAGCATAAAGCTGTGCAATTTCAGACGCTTTGACAAGTATCTTCGAAGCTGCAAAGAACGATGCTTTTCAGAGTTCTCGGAATCGCACGATCCTGTCTGTCGATATTATGAAATAGAGCCATCAATTGAGCCCTCTGCCTCCCCCGAGTGTCTCCCCTGTCTCGCTCTTAGTCTTTGACTCTCAGGACCTGTTTTTGTGTACATTCTGCCTGTTGTTTTTGGTCTGCTACGCCTCGCATTTGTATGCATCTGCTCGCTCATGTCTGCCTTGTCCGAGTCGTGTCTCTTGAATGACGATGTAATGCCTGTTCCACTGCATTGGCCCCACCTGTAGGAATTGCAGCAGTGCGAATTCTCTGGACTCTTGGAAGTTCTTGTTAGTGTCCTCTGTCGCCCTTTCGTGTCCTTGCGCCGGCTGCCGGTTTCCCTCAAAGAGCTTGTGACGGGCCAGTGTACATGGAGTCTTCAACGACATTGCACAGCAAGAGGGGCGTTGTCGCTACCTGGCTACCCGGAAAGCGAGAAGTACTCCTGACTTCCTGCAGTGGGCATTCCCGACACGAGGCCGACGAGGCCTTTTGAGTCTGAATTTTCCGCGGCAGCTTGGCGGTCTTCACCTTCACAGCACGAAGCAACTTTCCGCAAAGGAGCTCTAGACCAGAGAATCAAACTCGAGAAAGCTCTCCCAGATGCCTTGGCCACCTGGTCCATCCGACTGGAAGGCGTCCTCGGCACATACTCACGGTGGCTGCAACGGCGCAACGCGGTGCAATCACACGCAATGAAACTGTGCAATTCCTGCGTGTGCATACCCTCATCTCACGCGACCTGCCCCTCGACTGACGCTCGTGCTGCAGAGAACCTGTCGACAAGAGCGCAAGCTTCGAGATCAGGGCCGGTTTGAAGGAACGAGACAGTTCCAGATGATGTCCTTCTTAGTCTCGTTCCGGTCTCGTTCTGTAGAAGATTGTAGAAGCAAACCCAGCTAAACTGCAAGAAGCCTGCTGCCTGGATTCGTGTACACTATGAGCATCCCTTCGGAAAGATGCTATGTATCCACACCGGAGGAAACCTTCGCGAACCAGTGCTGGATAATAACAATTCAAGCCTTGCAGGCCCAGCACGCTAATGCACTCCAGTGAGTCGCAAGCAGAACTCTCCGAATCATGGCGAGCCCCCGGCCGTGCACCAGGGCTTCCGGGCTGCGCAGCGAGACAAGTTCGAGTGAAGGTAACATTGACATGAGGCATCCGACTCCGATTGCAGCACAAACGAGCGCAGACCGACAATGTCTGGCATGTCCGCAGCCGCATGGTCGGATCTTTGTGGCACTCTGTCAGACTCCGCCGCCCAAACATGTCCGCCGAAGCGCCCCTTGCGTAGATGAATCAGAGCTGTCGGCTGCCGATGGCTCCAAGCCTCGCCAGAGCTTTCCCGGCCTGTTCGAGCCCGCCTCAAAACAGGTGTAACACGACATGAAGTCGAAAAGTGCGACTACATTCTCATGTCAAGACTGTGTCGCCAACCTGCTCGACGGCGACCCTTGGGGTGTCGACGATATGGCAGACTCACGGAGCCTTGGTCTGTGACAAATGTCACTAAAACGCAGAAACCTCCGTCACTCTGCTATGCTCCGTGGGTGGGCAATTGCTGTGCCCAGACCACTTCTATCTTCTTCTGCAAATCTGAGCATGAAAGGTGTCGCCCGATTGCACGTAGGCGGTACACTGCAAGCTACAAGCCACATGACCGTGGGTAGAGTTCAAAGCAGTAGCAGGGGCAGTCATGTTCGGGTAGAGGGCCACGCGAGCGAGACGTCGGCAGCGGCAGTGAGCCGGCTGCTTCCTGCCAACGGTGGGAATGCTTGCCAAGCAGAGGAGGCACAAGGCCTTTTCGTGACGGGCCAATACTAGTCGTCCGAATTCGTATGCATGATCTTCGTCATCTTGGTTCTTGGCCTGGCCCACCGGATTGATGCGGAGAGAACTTTCGACCTCTTTTCCCCCTTCCCTGTACTACAGCTTGAGCTGTGGGCCACAGGCGCCCGCTCTGGGCATGCTGGCTGTCACGTAATGTATCAGTGCGGCACTTGAACCCTCGGCTCATCACACAAAGATGCCCAAAGTGCACACCCAAGAATCAGAACGTCGCCGGGCAGGGTGGGGTGCGTCCAAACAGGTGGTTTGACGGAGATGGTCAAGGTGAGAACCCCTGCCCCCCGCATCAACTGACACGTGTCTCTAAAGCCATCGAGCTCGCACCTTCGACAGTTTCGTACATTTGACGGACGCTGAAGCTGGGAGCGGCTCAGCCCAAACCATGCCATGCAAGGCTGAAACATCCTGAAACCTCGGACCACAACACGACACTGCAACATCGTCAAGAGCCCGCGCTGTCCGCATCATCGGAGCCAGATGGTGGACGCAATGATGCACTGGCTCTGGACTGGCCTCGATGAACATAATGTTCAATGTCTTGCTTTCGTTACATGCTGGCAGCACGACCAGGCTCGCAGCATCCTAGATACGTCTCCTTTCTGGCCAGTGCTGACGAAGAATCCAGTCCAAAGATGTCCAAAGTCCGACTAGTGCCCTTGAGCTTTAAACATCCTAGTCCTAGCCTATAATCTGGCTTGTACAGGGCACTTGAAACAAGTAACAAGACCCAGGCAGAACAAATCATAAGAACCTGAAGTGACTTCCAAAACTAGGAGGTCTGCAGCTAACACCAATTCAATTGAATTCATGCAGTACGGACGGCCCATATTGGTCGATTTGAGAGCGAATGGGCCGAATGGGCATCACAGACATAGGCCTGCTTTCGCAGACTGGATCATCGATTGCATGCGACTCGATCCGACACCCGAGCCAAGAAATTTGCAGAGCGTGCTATCTGGCCTATTGGGCCTACTAAGGTTGAGAGTCACGGAGTTTCAGCTATAGCAAAAGCAGTATCTGGGCATTCACTGCCATCGAAGTCCACGGCCCCTTCGGCCCCTGAGTGAGTCGTGTCCTCTGCCTCGCTCCCTTCAGTGGTCTGCCGACTCTCCGACAAGCGTCGAAGGTCTCTGAGCCTGAGCGCGCGTCCAAGCTGCGCTGTGGAGGGCTTGGAGGGCTCCGCCGCCGCCTCGGCGCAATGTGACTTCAAGCACGTGGTCCAACGCAAGGTATTTCAGAGTGGGTCACTTGAAAAAGTAGGATCAGAAATGACCAAAGTCCATCCTATGGCATCAAATCAGCAAGCTGGCCTCCGCAGGCTCCGCGGCATTCCTTCTATCACTGTGCCAGCGACACGACACAGTGCACAGCAGATGCCTTATCGTTCCGATTTCAAACGCCGCCTTCCTTGCATCTTTGCAACACCCAAGTCAGGCCTCGTCTCCGGTCGCTCCTGATGGACATGATTGCAGAAAGCTGATGCACCATGCAAAAAAACTGGCACTACGAGCGATCAGGAACTGGCGGCTAGGTCCTGCGGTGTCTCCTCTGCAGCTTTGCCTCGTGCACATGTATCAGCATAGCAGGAATCGATGAGATGGGTGTCAAGAGACAAACCGCACCTGCATCGCTTGCAAAGGGCCAGAGGCTTGCCTTACGGCTTCGGGCTGCAGTCGTCTTGGCGCAGTCTTTTTGAGCTGCGGCCCCTTGAATGCCAAGGCCGCCACCAGGCTTGGGAAGGAGCTGGCCTGGTCGGCGGGCTGCTCCACTACAGACTGCAGCTCGCGCTTATTCTTGCGAGCCTCCTTCTGCACTTCTGCCGCCATCTTGGGATTAGGCGTCTTGGGCAAGTGGCGGCCTGTCGGCTGTGCGAAACATCTCGCAACTACCTCCTTGACGACATCTTGCAAGGCGTGACAGATGTGACGCAAGGCTGCTAACACACGAAGACCCAATACAGCATCAGCATACACGACCGTGTTTCTGAGATCGGAAGTGCTCTCTGATGGGCCTGATGGGCTTCTTCGTGACTTTGCAGGGCATGTCCGACCAGATGTTCGCGTGTTTGTAAGTTTTGTTCGTTTGCCTACGTGAGGGGTCAGCCCCCGAGAGAACTTCTCGTTTTGATTGCGCGATTACGGAGGGAGGAAAAGCAGCTTCGGCCAAGTGCTTGGGCAGTTGTGGTATGATCAAAATCTTCGTTCCACTGCAGAGGTCGCATTGACATGTGACCCATGTTACGCATCATGAGAGCAGCCATTTAAGTGGCCAAGCCCTGAAGGAGTTCTCTGAACGAAAGCACGGATTCGTTGATGCAGTGCCGCAGCAATGACTGTAACTCTGAATAATGCGCACAAATCTGTGCCAAATGTCAAGTCAGATTAAAGCTTGTCCAGGTCTCAGAACTTCAAAGTTCAAGGCAATATTGACCCACGTGCTGCCGATCCACCTTGCTTGCGTAGCTCAGAGAAGAGTCTACGCAAGGCCGCCGGCTGGCTTGCAGCACGGATGCTGGTCTGCTCTCTAACATACAAACATAGTCTCGGTAATCCTTGAAAGTCACATGCGGTCAGTTTATGTCAGTTTGTCTTTGGGAAGGCCGGAAGTAGGGACTCCGACTCTACTGTTGCTTGCCATGGCACACGACTAGGTAGCCCGGGCGAGCATTGGATGAGCGGTATAGAAACAGCTTCTTAGAGCACTCTGCGTCAGCCAGAAGCTGAGCCACGGCCACCGGAGCTTGAGCATGTCCGACTCAAGAAATTGAACTCACGTCGGCAGACTGCAATGCTTGGCACGGTGCATGTTTTCCATACGACATGCGCGGAGAGATGGGCATCCATTCAAGACTATACTAGCGGCCCGTCACTCAGGGAGACACCTAGCTTGCAGCAGCAAGGAAGCATCGGCAACTGTGCTGCGGTCGAGAAGCGAATATTTCCAAGGTGTTCTCTTGTCTTGGCGGAGACTCTACTGCATCTGCTGTAAAAGCTGAGAGGAGCTCCAGCTTCATGGATCAGGACCTGACAAGAAGTTTCTGGAACAAAACCACGTGCATCCTGCCCGTCTGTCGATTATGCACTTCTCTCTGTGATTTGCGCAGCCGTAGGCAGTCATCCGGGTTCGGAGATGTTCGGAGAAGAGCATCTGAGTCGGCCGACACCAGAAGCTCGGGCGTAACTTGCTCCAGGTGCTCCAGGAGCAATCCTGTCAATCAAGCTCTTTGACTGGGCTCGAGAGGATCTCGAGAGGCATGTGACGAATCTGCATCAACATGGATCACCTACCATGGGACCCATGATCAAGTCGCACCTGTCTGCGAAGCCCACGCATCCATTCGCTCGCGCATCAGGTCTATACGGACCTTGGCCATACACGCAGGCACACAAGGGCAGAAACGTCCCTTCTATGGCTTATCAAACACGTTCCTTCTGACTTGTTGAGAAGGAAAGCTGGACGTTTCACTGTTTGGTACTCTTTGGCTAGCTTTGCTCATCCGCCTGACAATAGATGATCAGCTAAAGCTACACTGATCGACGACTGATCGACCATGTTGGGACTTCATCCCTCACTTCTGCGCTTTCGCACAGAACGGGCGCACTCAGCAAACGCAGAGTTGAAATCCATGACGTGCGGGCGAAGCGTTCACACGGCGTGCTTCACGCGTGACTGAATGAAGACCATGCCACGTCCCCACGGTCAGTCCCGGCCATACAGCTGCTCATCTGCACTTCGAGATTCCAGCCCAATCTGGAGCCAAGTCACAGGGTCTAGGATTCGCGGCTTTACCCAGGTGACGGTGACCAACTCGCTCACCTAGCGGCTCGTGCGCAAATCTGTGAGCAGAGCTCTGCTTTGACTTTAGCAGCTTTAGCAGCTTTCAAGCGTCGCAGCATGGGTTGGAAAGCTTCAGTCTCCGCCTCGTCGATCTGCCCGCGGATAAGTTCTGCACACATCGAGCGCATGACCAGATGCTCCACCTTCAGCTCAGGCGCTGAGGTGTGCATTTCTTGCCGTTGCCGTCGCTTTGCGCCCATCTGCACTGCAAACTGTGCAAGTAGCAAGCATGGCATGGGCTGGCTCAAGCTGCGCTCAGATGTGTTGCAAGACGCTTTCAATGACTGGTAGCTGATAGTGGCTGCAGTGAAACGAGAGCTTGAGTCGATGATCACGACTTTCGACTCTTTCCACATGCTGACGCTGTGTCCCTTCTTCTGGGACAAGCTCCGCGGACAGACAGACATCCGTTGCCTTGCGCAAGGGCTGATCTGACACTAAGCAAGCTGTGTGTCGGTACATCGCCGGCGTGACCTTGCCACAATTGGCGTCAGCACACAACAAGAGGCTCGTTCAGCAATTCCGTCCGCGCTCGGTGATGATCATTGGGACAGCCTGCACGCTCAAACATCTCGAGTCCGACACGAATGATACGGATTGGCAGCTATAGCATGCCGCAGTTGATGTCCCCAGTCCTGCTGCCAGTACATGCCAGCATACTGCCAGCCTGCCGCAAGAAAAAGCGTCGTTCCAGAGAGCACTCTTGGCTGGAAGATTACGCAACCCCCAGTATGGTGCGCTCGTGCAAACTCAATGCAGACCATACAGCCAGCCTATGCCGTAGGCAGAAGCAACATACCTTAGCAGTGATCGGACAGCAACTTTAATTCCAAAGTCTCTATCCTGCGCGGCTGCAGGTGGGCTGCTTGTGCATGGGAAGCATCCTCAAGAAGGGGTGGTTGAGTGGTGGATCTTGATACACGATTGATTGGATACGGGGATGGTTTCTCAAGCGCAAGTCTTGTGGGCTGAGTCTGACAGGTCTGCGACAACTTGAGGCATGCATCCTCTGGCTTGCCCTCGACAGATCACCCGTCACGTTTGCAACACTTCAAAGTATCTTTCAATAATAAGTCAAATGTATATAGAGTAGGGACATGAATACTTGGAGCTGACAAAACGCACAGACAGACAACACATAAAAAAAAAGCAATGAATTCGTTCGTATCCCGTCCGTCTTGTGGCCGCGGGCGCGAAACGTACGGGTGTCAAGCAACGAAACTTGGTTTAGGCGTCAGGGCCCTTGAGGGCCCTTTTTGGGTCCGGGGCGGATCCATTCTGTTTCCTTCTCAAAGCAATCACAGTCAACTTGCCAGAGCCACGGCCAACTTGTCACTTCGTAAGTATGTCTGGCTGAAAAGTTGCGCTCTTGCACAGAATTTCCCCATTCTGCGATTGCCATCCCGGCATTTCGGCACCAGGGCCCACTCTTTGGTCACAAGTTTGTATAACAATTTTCCGCGACTCCACAGTTTCTGAATTCACTTGTCAGCACATTCCTGGGACCTGCCCCACATTCCAACCTTTGTTTTGGTCGCAGTCTGAGATTCGTAAGGCAAGTCCACCTTCTCAGTTCCACGGCCAACTTCTCTGCGCCAAGACCAAGTCTTCTGGCAGAAAGAAAGGTTGCTTTTGCTCCATCCCTTTTTGCGTTTTGTCTTGTCCACAGAAAATGCTGGAAATAGGCGTAGATCCAGCTCTGTTTAAACAAAGCAATAAGCAAAACACGAAAAAGCTGGAGCAGAGGCACTTTTTCAGGCAGAAATGCTTACAAATGTTCCTGCTCAGTTGGTCTTGGCACAGGGATTGCCTGTGCAATGAAACGTTGGCCTTTGCCTGGCTAGAGCTAGAGCAAAAGCAACTTTCCAGACAAACACACATAGTTGCCTTGAATGTCTGTGCCTGAAAAGTTGGCCTCGGCACCGAAAAGGTCACCTGGCCCTGGGAGTGTGCCGCCGTTGTTGAAAAACTTGGTGAACCCCGGTACCTTTGCTGACAGGTGATCGTTAGCCGGTCCCATTACGAACAGTCGCCGCTGGCCGCTAGCGGAACAAACCTCGTAAGTCAGGTATCTGCGAAAGTTGCGCTGTCCCTGGGACGTCGGAGTAGTCACAGGGTTTCGAAACAGTTGCCGACCCTCTTGCATACAGAATCAGCAAAGAGAGCCATGGCAGGTGCTCACTCAGCCAGTGTCACGACATGATCTGACAACGAAAGTCATCGTTCTAGGAGAAGATAGCAGACGACACCTCAAACAAAAGTCGCCCTGATTTTGCTGAAATATGCTGAAATGGCCTGTGTACTCAGCAGAAATCTAGGGCTCCTTGCCCACAGCGTGGGGCAGCACAGCCGTTTCTCTTAGATCGGTTGTGTTTCCCCACATGCTGTCCCAGGCAAATTGAAACGGACCAGGACCAGGATCTGCAGTCTGAGGCATGGGCTCCCATGCACGGTACTCACCAGAAAGCTCGAAGCCAACATAATTCACCAGCTCCTTCAGTGCAGTTGGCATGGCACATGACTACTCCCAGGCGGAGTCGGGCTCCAAACCAGCACTACCCTGAACTGTCTGGAGTTCCGGGCTCTCTGTTCCTAACGTGTGGCTGCCGAACTCGACGCAGGCGCAAACAACTCGACTGCCATTCATCGTGTCATGGCCGGGAGGAAGATGCTGCCCCTACGATGCATCGTTTGAGGAGGCTCCCCTGTGGACATCTGGTCACTGCGCATGCAGACAAGCATGATAGTACGACCAAGAGCCACAAACTCAGTGTCGGGCATCATAGACAAGCACTGAGCCCGGCCAAAGCTGACAGGCTATCCGAGAGAGGACCTGGTACAGTCGGGTAGAGAAGCCCCATGACAAGCTTGAAAATCACTTGCTGCAGAATGGCTTTGCAATGCGTTGCCCATGCGGGTGCAGGAAATGACCGATTCTGTCACGTAGACCCAGAGGTGGTGGACCCATGCCAAATCGCAAGCTGCCAGCCTCGACCGCAGATGGGAAAATGTCGACGTCGATGTGTGCAAACGCCACGGGCCTTGCTACAGTACCGAAAGTCAAACTCGGAACAAGAGCCAGGTGCAGAGCAGAAAAAAACCGCGCCGAATTTCTCATTCTCCAGATTCTTTGCTTCTTCGCAGCATGCTGCTACTGCAATACGTACTAAAAAGAGCACTTAGACTTAGCACCTGGCATGTCTCCAAATTGATCGAGGTCACCTGCAGTTCAGGGGCCCCTGTGCCGAAGGTCGAGAAACAGCTCACCAGAACATGTCCCCGTCACTGCAATTTAGCAAGACGATGTCACATGAGCAATGGCCCGTAACCGCTCAACCCGAAAGTCATAAGGCATTGAGAGGTCGCTTCCAATTGTAGTTTCACCAGCCACCACATCATGGACCTGTCCTGCTGCTCATTCCACTCCTGCCGCTGGCACACCCCGCCTGATACACTGTCCCACACCGTCCGCCCACCCCCCGGAACGGTCACAAAAAGAGAAGCCGTACTTCTCACGCAGAGCCGAGGTACGGATACATACTTGCAAGGCAGGGTCCGCTGGCCTAGAGTGTCAGAGAAGAGGCCCACATGGATCTTGACCTCTGAAGAACGAGAAGCTCTCTCGCTAAACTATGCACCGCCAACAACTGAGCCACCGACGTTCGGCATTTCCAGCAGATGTTCCGGGATCTTGCAACGTACGGCATCACACGGATTCGTACAGCACGATGGTTCTCTGTGTTGATTTCTGGGTGGGCCTTCGCAGACTTCCTAGACCACTCCCAATGGCGTGGGAATGAGTACACAAATACAGGCACGATTGGGGACGGTACATCATGAAATGGAAAGGTAGGAATGTGTACTATGTCACCTTTTCTCTCGAAGATGTTGGACGGGCCAGTGTCCCGAAGGCATAGCCCCCATGACAACCCACCGATTTGCAGTTGCCTGCGAGCTCCTGGAAGCACTCGGCATCTTTGGGGCTCACCGGGTCTTGGGCACGACTGTTGATTCTGGAGTTTGTCCTTTGACAGTTCTTCGTCCATCCGGGTTACAGCACTTCTGACATGGAAAGCCGCAAAGCGACTGCACAAAAAGGATTGCACAAATCTTTAAGGATGAGTCACGTGTGCCGGCTGACCGCCAAGAGCTCCGGGAGTAGAAGCGGCAAGTGCTACTCATCGCTACTGGGACAAGGTTGGAAAATGAGTGGCACTGAGCTGGCCGGCCTTCCCACCTCTGCTAAAGGTGCCCGCTGCCAAATGCGTGTGGTCCCAGTCCGACGGCAAGCCCTGGCCCGCTGAGGCGCGGAGACGGAAGAGACTGCACTCACATCGCACACACATCCCACACACATCGCGCAGACTCCAAACCTCTCTGTTTGCATGTGCGCAAGTTCAAGGGCAATGGAACATGTGCCTCGAAGGAGTCGAATCCATGCAGTATTGCTTCCTGACAGGTCTCGTCGAGGGAGTATAGACTTATGACAGCTTATGTCAAGATACCAGCCTAATCTGGGACAAGGAGTGTCCCAAGTCCCAAGATCGTTGGGAGGGGCAAAAACCGGGAGCCCACCCATAAAGCCGGTTTGGCATGTGACCTGTGGTGCCTCTGCAGTAAGCTATGAAGGTAGACGGTCGAAGACCATTTGGCCATCACAGTAGCCACAGCTTATTGCAGTCCAACCCCGCAGGGCCTTGCCCACCATGGCTTTCATCTGGAAAGCGATCGCCTTCATGGGTAAGTCAAGTCAAGGTCGAACGATAAGCGAGAGGATGCATCTGCGAGCGCCTGCTGCACGCATCTGGGTGAAGCATACACGGCTAGTAAGGCCCCTGCAGCTGTCGTCTTGCCAGACCCAACACCGAACTCCAGCCTGTTTCAATTTTGCAATTGTGCTCGTCTACTGGCATGCTTTAGTCGCAGGTCATAGCAGCTGGCATCGGCAAAACTCATTACGGCACAAGAAACAAACTTCAGCTGGGATGCCAGAGACCATGCGGACTGTCAGGTGTCGGCTGCCGGCCAAGCCTCAGCCGATGGAACGAAGAGACCATGAGCAGGTGTAGCCAGAACGGGCATCAAAGGGAAAAAGCAACCAAAGATATGACAAAAACCAAGCAAACCATGTTGGAAGGCGATGCAGAAAATAGATCCTTTGATATTTCGCATGCTGCACCCAATTCTGGAATTCGGGTCCGAATTTCTGGATCCGTTGGGGCAGGGCAGGCTCGAAGCGAGCGTTGCAGTTCTCTGCAAGTTTCGCGGCACTCTGCAAGTTTCGCGGCAATTTCCGGCTGTTGGATGCTGTACATTGGGTTCTTGCACCTGATTCCATCTGTCCTACATTGTCCTACCTCACTGCGAGCCACACGGAACCTATGCAAATCAATAGTCAGGGGCTTTTACACAGGGTGTAAATATGCGCCGCCCTGATTGGGCACCGGCCTCTCGGGCGCAGCTGCTGGGGCTAGCGATGCGCTGTGAACAGCTGCCTGCACATGTTGCATAGGTGAAAGCCAGCCATGACACACATGCACCAGCACGGATTCCTGTGATCGAGAAACTGTTGACGCCATCCTGAACATGAGCCCTTCCCAGAAACATGGCTTGAATGTAGTTGGACCCCGTGCTCTGCGCGGCCACCACGTTTCCAGGAGTTATTGTCTTAACCCCTAGCTTTTCCCTTGGGTTTTTGCTACTTTGCCCGCTTATCCGGCTTCAGACTTCCAGGCTTCCTTTCTTCTTTTTCGGATATTCGGACATTCGGGTTTATCCTTGCTTTCGGCCCTTTAATTGCTTTCGGAATTTCGGCCTTTGATGTTCAGCATGTTGGAACTGGATCGCGGGGGTGAGAAGGGATAATGACGTCCTTCGGCACCGATTCATGGTCGTTTCGGATCAGAGCAGAGCCAGGGGCTATGGAATTCGAGCGTGGGCGAGCGTACTCGGCGCTGCTTGTCGCCTCCTTGCTGTTGCGAGACCCCAAAGTAGTTTTCAAAATCCACACTCTTATAGAACACTCCAGCTCTGTCAGGCCCGAACAACCTGTAAATTACGATGCCAACGCTTCTCGTTGCTTGCTCGTGTGCTTGCCGGCCGGTGGCCGCGCAAGGAGCGGATACCTAGTAGTTGCACTCGGGGCCTGCATCAGGTCCAGCCAACAGCTGGCAGGTTGAACCTTCGCACAGCGAATAGGCACGAAGCTGCATCAGCTGGGACAACCGCAGGTTACCGCTTCTGCAGGCTCTGAAGTAGGATAACCATCGACCGACCATCTCCGTGTAGGGCCGTATCAAAAACTGTGCGGCAGTGGCAGACGGCCTGGGCTTGCTGCCCCCACCAGTAGTTCTCGCGGTTGACGTACAGCAGGCGTAGTTGACTGGCATGTGTTGAGAAACGTGTAGAGGCCTTGGGCCTTAGGCCCCGAAGCCATAGTCGCTGAAGTCAACAACTGAGGGGCGTGCGACCACGCGGCATGCTGCACAACCTTGCAAAGCCCGTACACAGAAGTTCGGCTTGCGATCTGCCATGTTGTCACCCTGTTCATGCCTCAGCCTTACGTAGGTCCTGACACAGTGACTATACTACACCGTTGTGTCATGTCGCTGCTATGTCGCTGCATGTCGTATGTCGAGACTGCGACAACGCATGGAAATGCTGCAGGTGCTGGGCCGAGCCACCGAAGACATGGACTCGACGGTGTGCTCCGAGACAGGAGGCGCCCACCTTAGCGTTCCCGCCGAATGCCCAGGCCCCATGACCTATATGACCTCCGGTCGCCTTTACCAATCAAGTTTCTCATCTGCGCTGGTGCGTTTTGTTGCGTTGCCCTGTTGAACATCAGAAGGCCTGCAAAGCTGCACGCTCCCCTTCTGCATCAAAGCAGCTTCTTTCGACAAGCCAACCCTCGAGTCTACAGATCTTCGGCAGTCTTTCCCTTGGTCAAGACATTCCAGGAACGCGGCAAGGTCCAAGGTCGGAGGGGATCAAGTGGGCTCTGATGTGTGATAAATCTCGTGATGTCCACACTGAAATCTCCATGAGCATGCGATGGGCATGCGCATGTGAGCTCGTCTGCCGAAGCAGAAGTGTTTGCTGCTTGGCTTGGCCCCCGTGCCAGGACACTGGTGGATGAAGCTGCTGCTCCTCCACAGGCATCCGTGGCCGTCGCAGGACATGGCGTTGACTAGTATTGTTTGGTGAGGCGATGCAGCTACTGTAACTGTCGCTGAAAATGCACTTGGCACTTCTCAGGATGCCCTAGCCCCGAATGATATCGTTTGGTACCTTCGGTTGACTTCAAGCGTCAGCAGGATCGTTCCATTTCTGCCTTGTTCGCATGGACAAGCGTGCTATAGATCTTGATGTTCAGATCCTCTGCTTTTCTTGCGAACTCGTCGTGCAGCCCCTTGGCTGTACGAAGAATCATGGGAAACCAGTCCAGACATCATGGTCCCGGCTGACCTCCGGATGTATGCATCAAGACAGGAGTCTGACCTACACTGCGACGTATGTTGTGCTCTTGCAGTCATCCTGGTTCACGTCGTTCAAGACGGATGTATCAAAGCCTTTCTGCGCTGCGATTGCTCGCACCTTCTCCAACAATGCATCATCCCGCTGCTGCTTGCTGGTCAAGATCCACAGACCTGCACCTGATGCGGTGGAACAGCCTGCCTCCGAGGCAACGGTTGGGGGCCCGCCTGATATGAGAGCATAGCCTTCAGCTTCGTCATAGGCAATGATCCAGGACGCGGCACCGACAGCAGGAGGCATAATGCATGGAGCAATCCGGAATTTTCCACGTGCCTTGTCCACAATCTTCAGGCAAGCCACTGCCGAATCATGAATCTTGTGCGGGAGATCTACGTCCTCCAGGTGGCTGTGGATTTGAAGTTCGTAACCCAGCAGGCTTCTCTTGTACTTGTAGTCGTTGTAAATACATCGATTCTGCGATTTGGGAAAATATTTTGTTGCCATCTGCTGCTGACTGTACCAGCGCTTTGCCACAAAGCTGTCCAAGTCAAACTCTGAGACGGAGTCGAACCCGGCTGGAGGGCAAGAGGTATTGGCAGCGCAAGCCAAACGCAGAAAAACGAGCACCGAAGCGAGTGTCCAACGCATGGCGGGAGCAGAAATGGCGCCAAATCACTGAAATGGCGATGTCGGTGATATGTTGCGATCTTGAAGTGCCTTCAGAATCCCCGCTCGAGGAGAAAAGCCATCACGCAGGAACTGGTCTGTGTAACGACACATGCATCCCTCGAGGATCCACGATGACATTACGAGAGTGCAAACTCACGAGCCTCATCCGACAGATATGATCTGCAAGAAGACAAGGGTGGGCCCAGGTAAGCCTTGCCATGCCAAAGCGACAGAAGGCAGAGTCATTGCCAAAGCGGCACAAGGTAAACATCCATGCTCTTGCACAACAAATAGTATTGCATCGCACAGACATGTCCTACTCCAGCAGCCTCAATGCGGTAGGTCGCCGCAAAGCGAACGCCTGCCTCGAGCCAAATTCATTGACAACTAAACCGATTGTAGCAGCAGATGCACGCAGTCCATGCGCTTGCCTGGCCTTCGTCCAGGCACGATTTTAATGCAGACATGCAGTCGTCCATCTCAAGCTGAGCAAGTGGCAGCTACCCGCCAGCGACCTCCACCAATGCCTTCTTTGCCACGCCCGATAAAACCTAAGTGGGTATTGAGAGCGTTGACAAGATGGGCGATCTGAGTATCTCCCTGCCGCAAACTCCAGGGCGTGCAGGACCCTGGACGACGAATAGACTGGATGCCACGCGCGTACGTGGCTCCAAAGGATCATCCCAGGGGCGGAGATCCTTCCCTCACAAAGGGAGGATCGTACATCCGAGGCCACCACACGTCCAAACGCGAGCACAAAGCTCCGCCCGCCAGTTCTTGCAGCGAGTTGGGGACCGTGTTGGATCGTGTCAGCACTGAGTCTTGTTCGGAGGTCCCCAGACCCTGCAGACTTCCCACGCCTCTCCGAAGCAAGAATCCCCCAGCCTGGCAAGTCGCCGGAAAAATCACTACGGCCTGGCCTCTACTGTAGTCTACACTGCATTCTCACGTCATGTGTAGTAACGCAACTATCAGGCACACGGCATCTCATTCACGTCATCATGAGCTGCGCTTGACAGTCTGGCCGAGGTAGTAAGACAAAGCTGGCATGGCTCGTCCGGCTGTACTCGGCCACCTGCGAATATCAAGGTTGCGGCTCCTAAGGTCCTAGGCCTGTGATTGCACCATCAACCTCCGAGTTGCTGCCGAAAACGGAAGCACAACTTCACTGTTCTGAGGCGACCGACGTGTTTCTGAGTACTGGTAGGAGAACATGCTCCAAAGGCGGATGGGATTGTGCTTGGGCGGCCTCAGTTTGTGTCGTGCTGTGTGCGGCAAGTTGACATACTAGCCTTCTCAGGACGCAGCGTGCCACCTGACACCATCCAGTCCTCCACTTTGTCCTCTGCAGGAGGACCAAACACTTCTTCGAGGATCCTCGCGGCTTGTCCGCGTGCCTCGTTGCTCGTGTACGACAAGCTGAAGAGGCCTACGAAAACGCCGGCCTCGACCTGAGTCTGCAAGGGCAGATGGTGCCTGCCGAAACAGACAGCTAGAGCTACTAGAGCATCTCCACCTAGATGTAGGACCTGCGGTCTTTAGAGGCATGCCACGACATCAACGTGGCAGATTGGTCACCTGCAGCGCCACTGGGATGCGGGCTCCAGCGGGCAGCGCGCTTGGCGAAGCCTCGACGAGGAAGCCAAGTCCTGCGGCGAGTTCATCGCAAACGGTGACCTGTGTTCCGACCTGTGGTCTCCTTCCCAGATGCATCAAGACAGCGACAGCAGGACTCTGCGGACTCTCTGCAGTGCTGAGGGACTAGCCATCACGCAGCGCATGCGTGGGGCGCTTCTTGGCCGCGGCCTGATACCGACTGCTGGACCCCTGTCCCGAAGCCAAAGCATCGAAGTGACAAGCAAACTCTGCGCCTGGCCTCCTGCAGCCGCTCGGCTGCGAGATCTCGAAGAGGCCTTGCTCAAATTTGTCGGGTCGGTGCAGCCTGGCACCGCGACTCTGGGTTCCACGCCAAGGATAAAGCACATCCGGCTCTTTGCCTGCGGCCAGCAGACTACTCCCTGTGACTCCCGACGCGAAATTGGATTCGATGTTGCAATCTTTTGCGCGGCCATGTCGTCTGCAAAGGCACGGGCACCGTTCTGCTGGCAGCTTCCACAAATTCAGTGAGTTCCAGACTGCACGCCTTCGTTGCCGAAATACGTCCTGGGCCCCACCGAGGACATCGTATACTGGTATCTTCTAAAAACGGGCGTGAACCTGTCTTGGTCAGAGCCAGCTTGGGTACCGACGGCTCTGCAAGGAGACTCACCTGGTCAACTTGTAGCGGATTGTAGCGTTTGCATATTCGCGCACCAGCATCTGCAATGTCTGAAAAGCTACACCATCTCTTCTGCCCGTTTCTACCTGCCTTGAAAGGCACTTCTTCGGCTGCACAGGTACACAGCACCTGCGCCAGCTGCACAAGTGGAAGGATTCAGCATTGAAGTCATAGGGTCCGGGCAAAGGCAAGTCTTCGGATCATGGCTTCGCACGCTGCGCGCCATGGACATCTCAAAGTCTGATTAGCAAACTTCGAGCATTGTCTAAACTGGTTTTAGTGTATTTCGGCTTTTCGCCAGTAGCTGGTCAGTGGCTCATCGGATGGAGCTGTAGATAGTCGTGCCTCAATACTGCTGGAAATTGTTGGGGTGTAAGATGGTGTAAGCTATGTTCCGGCCGTTTGGCCATTTGGGCAGCTTTGTTATCATGATGACTGCCACATCAACCAAATGTGTCCAGGCACAGACCGGTTGCATGATTATGCGGCTGTGATTCCGGAGAAAACAAACGGCTGCAAGGAGCCGACAGTGGGTAGCACCTCACACCATTCACGAAAGACATGCGAAGGCATAGATGTTGCATCGTTCGAGTGGACACAGCACACCGGTCACCGCAAACGCGCCTCCATTGCGCCAACCTCGAGTGACTGATACAGTAGCGAACTCTGCAGTGAACACGGCTCAAGGAGCGCATCAAGAGCTGCCGCTCGGCGTGACTTATCGTGTCTTATCCTTATCGACAGTGAAGCTCTGAGGCTGCCGTCCACTTGAAGTCTGGGGGTCCAGGATCCGCTGACTCGTCGCAAGATGTCTTCTTTGGAGGAGTCCGATTTTCCATACCCTTCTCACCCATCTTTGGTTTCTCTGGTTCGGGCATGATGCAACGCCTGGGATCTCTGTCGCAACCCCGTGCTGCGACAAAACTAGCTTTGCTGCCGGCTGCCGCAGAAGCAAGCCACAAATGGCCCAAGCGCTACAGTAAAGCACGCTAAAGCCCAAACATTTGTGCGCACCTGCAGTGACCCTGGAGGGTCCTGTGAGCTGGAGATGTCTGCAGGCGAAGCACTCGGCAGTGCTGCGCGATTTCGGAGAAGCTTAAGCGCCTCTGCTTCTTCGGCTTCCTGTGCTCAGGTCGCTCCTGCGGCTAGCCTGTGGCCTGCGCCTGTGACACCGGCCTGAAAGCCAGCTCCATGAGCGACAAAGCGCACATCTTCCGCCTCCGACACAAGAAATCGATGTAGAAGCCCTGTAGATAGCAATTCCGACTCGGGTCTCCCGAGCTCTAAGTTACAGGGGTATGCTGCGACCTCGCCTCAGCGTGGCCTCCGCAGACTTCAGCTCAGGGCTTGCCTCCAAGCACAGCACGCAAGAAGTGTTGTAATATGTTGTAATGTTGTAGGCTGGGGAGAAAAGTGTCTTGATTGCACAGCCTTTCGAGATTCATGCGCGAATTTGCTCAGCATGTGGCCTCCATCTGCGTTCTGTTCTTGGCGATGGCCGCATCGAACCTTAAGAACTCTTGCGACTCAGACTGTGAATGAGCCACTGTCTGTAGCAGCTGCTTGCAAAGCTCCGAGACAGCGACAAGTCAAACTTGCCTTCACTGAAGGCCTCGTGGCAGGAGGAAAGTTTCGACGAAGCAGCGCTCCACAAGATACTGGTTGCAACTAGGACTTTGGACTACTGGCTGCAACACATTGCAAGCAGGTCTTTGGACTACTAGTACCTAACATCGCTCGCATCCTTCACGATCAAGCAGCGAATCTGGACCGGTCCAGAATAAGTTGGGGAGGCCCAGAGCCGCGAAAGATCGATGTGTACGACATAACTGCCCGCCACTATCAATACTAGCCGTGCCATGATTACTACTCCTACTAAACTTCTATTCCCAATTGCTATTGTTGGTATCAGCTGCTACTCGCACTGGCTTTGTCAGACCCCAGACCCAGACCCAGGATTACTGCTTCGACCCTCGTGCCGACACAATCTGGCATGCTCACGTTCCGTGCCAAAACTGAAAAGGATGGGTATATACCGCTTCGTCATCAGTCCATACAAAGAAACTGGTCCTGCGAGCCATCCACCCTTGATACGCCATATGCCAAGTCGCAGCAAATTACTCAAAGGAGGATCAAAGAAATCTCTTAGAAACGCTCATCTGCATAAATCTGGTAATGGCTCTTGCTGGGGACTCGAAGCTAGCGAAACACCTCGGCGGGCTGCGAGTCATCTTGAAGCAACCGATCATGCTAAACCGCCAGTACACAGCGAAGGATCGCGCTAGATTCAGCATGCGCGCGAGCTGCTGACAACACAGTTGAAAGTTTAACATCATGTCACAGATGCTTTCTGCCTGCAGGAGATCTCTGACCCATGCAAAGGGCGAGCCTCAGTCGAATCGACGATACTACAAGCCAGGTGCGCATGTTTTTTGATAAGACCAACTGAGTAGGATTTAGAAATCTGAGCCTCTGGATAAGTGCCCGACCATCGAGAGACTGAATGATCGCTTGCTGCGTGAGTTCACCAAAGTTGAATTCCTTGCTGATTGTCGTCAACAACAGCAGCAGCAGCAACGACAACAACAACAGCAGCAGAGCTCATCAAATAGCACTATTGCAGCATTGCGGCCTCCTCGGCGACCAGCGCTGCTATCACTGTGTCGAAAGCGATCTGTGGCCTCTCCTCAAAGCTCCAAGCAACACGGATCTTCAATGTCATGGTCAAGTGCCACGGGCTGTCTGCCGGTCAAGTTGGGCGAGAGTCCTCCATAGGAATCGCTTCCAGAGGCGTGAAGGCCAGGTACAGAATGGAGCTCTTGTAAAACCTCGATGGTGGTGTCTGAGACTGGCTGCGGCATGCTTCATCCCAGCTTTTCGGGCAGCTGTGCAGGCACATTCATACATCGTTCGGATCGTTCGGGCTGGAATGCCTCCATGGATGAGGGAACATACCTACGGTGCTGAAAGGCTTGCTGGCCGCTGATGAGGTTCCGAGACAAGAACTCCTGCGAACGGCCCAGGGTCTTCCAGAGCAAGGCATTGGTTTTGTGGAAATGGGACTGGATGAGCGCTTGCACCTTGCAGGAACGGGGTCACAAGGTATGCAGGGCACGCTCGGTTCGACATGACACGCAGTTCAAGCTGCCTCGTAGGCATTGTCTATCTCCAGCCCCAAGTTTTCCAAGAGTTCCTGTCAGAAGGTTTCAGACGGTTCCGGTGCAGAGGGAGACCATGCAGTGCATCCTCGCCATCTGAATGGTCTACTACTGACACATCGATCCCAACGGGTCATGTGAGCGCAGCACATTCGGACTGCCTTGGCCGACTCCGTGTCTGCCGACAGGATGAGCTTTTCGCCCTGAGCAACGGGTCTGCGCTCAGCCGACCTACCTTCAGGCTCAGGTCTGGTGCGCTGGCCTTCGACCCTCCCTGACCAGGCCTTGAGAGCCTGACAAAGGAACTTGGCATCGCGATTCTCGGCCATGGTGGCCTCTTGCACGCTCTGGGTCTCTGATGGACTTGGGCTGGACTTGGACTCTTGCAGGTGCTGGGAATGGGGTCTTCAACTTGCTCAGCGGCGAGATACGGCGAGGTTCCCTGTCTTGTCTCGGTTGGCTCTCTCGTTTCCCCCCGTCCCTTCTCCGTTTGCAGCCTCGAAAGGCGCGATCAGCTCCAATGCCACCGCCGGCGTCTGTGGCTTCGCCACGATTGAGAGAATCTGAACCTTCCGGCAGAACAGGCTTCGGCTTCGTCTAACCGACAAACACTCTTTCAAGGCAAAGGTTGTCAAGGTGCAAAAGACTTGAACACTTGGCCGCATTGCTGCCACATGCTGAGGCCATCGCCCATCGCACTTTGTCGAATCTCACCTCAAAAGCCTTTATGAAGCCTTGGCACGAAATCAGGCTCAAGGCTAGTTATGACTGCTACTCCAGACAGCTCACCCACCGCATGCTCATCCGACTTCCGACACCCTCGCTCGTGGCCGCGGCGGCACAGTGCCGGTAAGTCAGACCGACATGGCCCCCGGCCCTCGAAAAAATCCTTCAACTCGGCCGCCACCGCCGGCGTGGCAGCAGCAAACGGAGGACTTACAAGGTACCTGGACAAGGCACGCTCAGACTAATCGGGCTTCGCCTCAACACCGCGGGGCACTCCAGGAGAGTCTGGGTGAGTTGGTGATACCTTCGTGCAAAGTCATATTCAACAGGTTCACAGGCAAATTCCCGGTGTCCATTGTCCATCTCAACGGGAAAGTGAGAGCAATAGCATGCACAACACGTATCACCAATGAACCACCGGAATCTATGGTACACTTGTTTCTCTCCAAGCTGCAGCTTGCTGTTTACGAATTTCTGCATTTTATCCAGCTGCTCGGAGAGCTCTGGGTGAGCCTGGCAAAACCACCACGCGCCAATCACTCATGCCACGGGTCCAGACTGTCCGGCCAGCAGGAGATGTTTCGCGCGGCTTGACTGACTTGCACCTCCGTCCGCCCCCGGACCCTGCCTTCCGCTGTGCCTCCAGCGCAGGACTTGGATCGACATCCATTCTTCCTCGGCGGCCTCTCAATGGCCCCTCAGGTCGCCTTAGGCCTAAGCTGCAATGGGTGCAATGCAGTCTCTCTGATCTCGGAGCTTCTCTGAGCTTCGCGCCGATGCCTGCGGAGGTTGGTCTGTGACTTGGGCCAAGATGGCACCAGGCAATGCACGAGTCTCCATGATCTGACCCGAAGCACCTAAAGCACAGTAGAATTCTGGTGGAGCGGCACGCTGCAAGAAGATTGCTCCCTCCGCATTGACAAACTTATCGCCCTCGATCAAGCTCATCGCTTCCAATCGCGCAGGCACAGGGCGGTGTCCAAACGGCATTCGGTTCGCTAGATGGCGGTCGCTCACATCTCTTAGACTCGAATCCCCCTCAGGACCTGGCGTTTGCTCGTCGTAGTCGTCGTGGTAGTAGTAGTCGTCGTCGTCGTCGTCGTAGTGGTAGTAGTAGTAGTAGTAGTAGTAGTAGTAGTAGTAGTTGGAGTAGTAGTAGTAGTAGTAGTAGTAGTAGTAGTAGTGGTAGTAGTAGTAGTA